CGCTGGCGGGGCCTCTGGCCGGCTTGGCTGGGCTGCGGAGCGCTCTCCTGCTCGGGTTTGGGAAGGAGTTAGCGCCTGGGGCCACTCCTCGCAACCCCCAGGAACTGCCGGCCGACCCCGGGAAGGCGCCAGGGGACCTGGAGGTAGCGTAGGAAGCTGCGTGGGTGGCAGAACGGCGGCCACTAGGACGGAGAAGGTGCCGTGGGCCTTGGAGGAGGAGGTCTCCCGTGCTGCCTCGTCTTCCCGCTGGCTTCCTCCTCCTGCTGCGGTGCTCCAGGACCCGGGTCCAAGTGTGTCCACGGGGCGACCTTCCTGAACTCAGGAATCTGCAGCGGAGCCACGCGAGTGCAGATACCTGGCTGCTCTTCCTCCTGCTGCCAGCCCTTGGTTTTGTGGCTTCTTCGCCACGGCCTCTGCTTTCAAATGAAAAGCACCAGTCTTGGTGCGAAGGTGTTCCTCCCACCCGAACCCTGCCAGAAAAGTGGAAATAGAACCCAGGCCATGGCAACTGAGTTTCATTTTAGTATTTGTGGGAGATGACCATGAAAAGAGCTTTTGTTACTTTTTTCCCAGGTGTGTTTTCATACAATGTGTTATTAATCAATTGCTGCTATTTCATATCAGTTCTTACTATTCTTTTAGCCCTTTCAACGGCTGCATTTAAAAGTTATTTACACACATATGTATATATTTTTCCTTTGGTTCTCAGCCATGGTAAAACCTGAGAAGCTTAGAAATGAAAAGCAAAGTGTCCAAAATGTATAATCACCGTTTGTACACAATTAAAATCTGTCAGTTTGATGGCTATGAGTTTATTGTTCCAATTGGAACATGGACTTATCCTCTAATTGATTCACATTGTTATGTATTTCACGTTAAATAATGGAGTACAAAGGAGATGATGGATGGAATTGAGGTGGCATAAAATAAACTAGTAAAAAAAATTTTGAGTGTGTGTATTGCTAGTATTTTTTGACAGTGGGTTAAAAATCGAAGCCAGAATGGTGAACCCATCTGTAATAATAAATCATAAATGCTAATTAGACCAGATGTCCTTCCTGACGGCCTTCTGGACAAAGCCGGGTCTGTGAGGGAAGCCTGGGTCCCGGGTGCCAGAGGCAACAGCCAGGGGAAGGAAGACCTACTCTTGCATGAATTTCGTGCATCGGGCCTCTAGTTTCCTATAATTATCTCAGTAGAGCCTGGTGGCCAACGGATTAAGTAGTTTCAAATGGAATATATACAACTTTATGGGAAAGTATGTCCAAGAGAAGTTTTCTTTATCTCTAAAGATGAAGACCAAATAGTTGGTTACATTGTTACCTCCCTAACCCATCTTTATTCTCTACAGTTTCCTCAAGTTTGAAATGATTAAATGTCTTGAATTTTTAGTTAAATTCTAAACCACTAATAGGGTCTGTAATCTTAAACAAGTTTGGGCCTTTTTCTTCATCTTTTAAATAAGGTGGTAGACTAAATAAGCACCCTTTAAGTAAAGTGATAGACTAAAGCACCCTTTCAACTTAGAAATGCTATAATTATTCATGGAAGAAACTGACACTTGTTTCACAAATAACAAAACAAGGGGCTATCTGTATAAAAGTAGTTAATGACAAACTTCATTAACATTTAATTGGGAAGGTTGAATATGAATTCAGCCTTATAAAGTATATGGAGGATTGTTTGCTAAAACTACTAAAATTGCTGAAATAAAAAGTGATATTAGAACTAAAATGGGCAATTATAATAGATGCTTGTCTCCCAACAATTTTCCTCAAATGAATTTATCTCTGCCGAGGTTAGCAAGCTATTACAAAATTTACACAGGAAAAACCCAGTGATCTTACCGTCACATTTTTTTTTTCTTTGCTGGTTATTGAATGAACATGGCAGTGTGCACATGCTTTTTTACTCCTGTTAAATGCGACATTTCTTCAAAATTCATCCTGAATCAGGTTTTATAAGAAGGAAAATTTTCTGGAATGTAGGAAGAGAGTAGCATTTCTCAATACGGACACGTCTCAGGGACATGGTGGAAGGGAGAACCACAGTAAAAGAGTTACAGAGTTTATATGTAAAGAATTGGAAGCACCCAGGGATTTATCCTCTCAGTTCTTAAGGTTTTAATAATGAAAACTACAGGAGTTTGCATTAACTCAGAGTTAACATAAAAGGTAAACATCTGGCTTTCATAATGATTTCATTATGAAGATGAAACTTTATCAGTAGAAATGAATTATTGAAGTATGAGTTTTTCCCACTAATGGTATATTTACACTTAGCCTTCTGGTACTTTAGTTTTCTGTGGTTAATCACAATTTCAATATAAATAAGGCAAAAGCTTACTTGTTTTTCTGTGGTCAGACTCTCCTCATTAGCACTAAATATGAGCAAGAACGAATTTGGTGATGGATTATTCTTTCTCTAAGGCTCATTTCACTCTATCTCTTTCCTGTTTGGTTTATGGCCACAACTAAAACTGCTTCGATTAAAAATGGGTGCAAGCAACATTTTGAATGTAATACTTAATGCCACTGAATTGTATATCTTTAAATGGTAAATTTTGTTATGTGTATTTAGCACAATAAATACCAAGTGAAGCTCTGGTTGATTTTAACCCATTATTTCCCCCAAAAGTAGCTTGGTTATAGTCAAGATGAATTTTAAACTAGCTGAATTAGACAGTGTATTAGTTCCTAGGGCTGCTAAAGCTAAGTACCACAAACTAGGTGACATAAAAACAAGGAATTTATTCTCTCATGTTTCTGGAGGCCAGAAGCTTAAAATCAAGGTATCTCAAAGCCATGCTCCCTGTGAAAGCTCTAGGGAAGAATTCTTCCTTGTTTTGTCCAGCCTCAGGTGGTTTCCAGCAATCCTCAGCATTCCTTGGCTTGTAGCTGCATCACTCCAATCTTTGCTTCCATATTCATTCACATGACCTTCTTTGTGTGTATTTGCCCTTCTTTAAGGATACCAGCCATTGGATTTAGGGACCACTATAATCTAGTATGATCTTATTTAACTAATTATATCTGTAAAGACCCTATTTCCAAGTAGATCTCATTATAATGGTAGAGCTGGGTATGAAATTTTGAGGGACTCTATTCAGCCCAGTATAAGCAGTGATAGATTACTGTGTACAGGCATGAAAACATAAATTAGAAATTCAACTATCAGAAATGAAGGTTCAAAGGTTTCTTCAAGAGGTGGGATTTAGAAATTGGATACACTTTTAGAAAAAATATAGCACTATAGTCTAGAGAATACTGGAGAAATTTTTAACATTTGACATAAGTAGCCTAATGTTTTGCCCCTCGAAGTAGTTTTCTAAATTAGAATTTTCCAAAGTCTGGTGAGGTAAATTTATTCATTCTTCTAAAGAAACTGACATTGTGTTTTCGTTATCTTCTAGTGAAGTGAAGCTGAGCTACCTCAATTGCCCGTGGAGTTTGATGGCACTGATTTGGGAACAAGTAGGACAATGTTTTCCCATATCTTCCCTTGTTTAAAATAATTCTGAGCTTTTCCTTGTGCTTTTGATATTCTATTTGTTCTGTGCAGATTGCTGCTTAAAATAATTATTTTGGTCCTTTGTATTTTTTTTCACCCATACTCTCTTCCTCTGAGGTCCCCATCTGGAAACCCAGATATATAAAGATGTTTTTGGTTGCAAGTAACTCATCCTAGGTTAAACCAAAAGGAATTCAGTGGCAGCTAGGAAGTCCAGACATGTGTATAACTTCAGGGTTGGCTACCTTCAGTTTCTGAAACCATGTCATCAAGAAGCCATCTTTCAGCTATGCTTTGTTCTTTGTTGACTTAATTGTCACATCAGCTCTTTGTACATGGTGGCAAACTTGGATGGTATTGGCTTCTGTAGGCTATAATTTAGATCAGTAGGTTTTGAGCCTGTCTGGGACACCTGGAGACCTCAAGATACTTTCAGAGGGTCTGCAAGGTCAAAACTATTTTTATACTAATACTAAGGCATTATTTGCCTTTCCACTCTCATACTTTCATTAGATACAGTGCAATTTTCCAGAAGCTGTGTGATGTGTAATATGGATATTTAATGGAATGTGTTTGTATATTTATAGTTTAATTTTTTAATATATAATATCAGTAGATATAAACTACATAAACAAAAGCTCTTTGGAGTCCTCAATAATTTTTAAGTGTAAAGGGGTCCTGAGACAAAATCTTGAGACTCATAGATTAAGGTCCTGTGTCCATCCCCAAAGCACTTACTAGGGCAAGCAGAGTGGCATTTTCTGATTGGTTTGGCCTTGATCAGGTACTCACCCAGAGGATGGAGATCAGCTATCTCCCTACCAAATGGATCAAGGAAAGATAGATCTGGGTACCATAGGTAAAGCTAGTGTCTTGATAGGTTAGCAATTAGTCCTACTCTTTTTACAGAGTCTTAATCTCTCTCCACCATTACTAAAGATATTATTCTTTTCTGAGAGCTGTAATGTATACCTTTAATACT